AGATGCCATTGCGAACTGCATGACGAAATTCTGCGAGGGTACCAAAGATGAACACTTCTCTGCCAGGCAGGCGGCTTTGGACCTTTGCAACAAGCGTGGCGTTTGTGGTGGCTTGACCAAACAGCGGAGACCATCGCACGTGCGACTCGGGCCGGGTGGCAAGATTCGGACGGCTATACGAAGATGAAAATACCCCTGCGAGCACCTTTGCTTCGACAAACTGCGTACTGTGAGTACGGGAAGTTGGTTAAGCGAGTAAACTTCCCGAAGCTGAAGAAGTTTCATGCGTATGTGCCCGCGTCAGAAAGGCCTTGAAGCCTTGAGGTTCGATGTTGGAGTTTGTGTGCAAAGTATACAGTAGCCCTTTGAGAGCAAGGGGCCAGGGTGCGGTCAAGCACCAGACACTCTTGTTAGTTCCTTGTGTTTCCCCCTGTTGTCTGTTCCTTTCTAGCTGAATGGGTAGACCAAAAGAACATGCGCAAGTGGACAGGGGAACCGTCTTCGTCCTTGTATTTACCTTCTTTTTTCTCCTTGAAAGAAGGAACAGAAAAGTTGGAACGGAGGGAGGGATTAAAGAATGCAAAGGAAGGGAACAGAGGAACTCAGAACAAGCAAGTACTTGCTTCTCTCTCTTCTCGTCCATGTGCTTCGCTCATCCAGTGCTATGCATTCTCTCTTCGGCAAGAAAAACAAGAAGAGACAAAAGCTAGAAGGGAGAGAGCAGAGGGAAGAGGGAGGATGAATGTAGTGAAATTGGTTTGTGTTCTTAAATCTTCATTCTGCAAGAAGAGAACCACAGAAGAGAAAGAAGAGAGGATTAGAGGATGAATGCAGTGAGACTGGGTGTGGGCACTTATCTTTGTCATCTGTTATTCCCTCCTCGTGTTTTCTTGTGCGTTCTGCTCAGAAAAGTTGGGGAGGGATGAAGGCAAAATTGAGGAATAAGGGAACTCAACCGTGCTCTAGTGGAAAACGAGCCCAGGGAACTCAGGCCTGCACTAGGTCACTAGGGCTCGAGACCCCCTTCGCAACGAACGGCTGCCCGCTTTCTTTCTTTCTTTCGAGGGGTTTGTGGGAGACCCCCACGCGCACGCGTGCCGCCCCAAATCTGACTTCGCGAGACTGTTTGCAATTCTCTCCTCCATAAGAAAGCAAAGAGCAGAGAAAAAGCGAGAAGAGATGAGAGCGAGGACGAAGGTAACGAGATGATCTTGGGTTCTTGGACATTCATCTTGCTTTCCGGCAAGAACAGAGCCCGAGAAGAGATAAGAGAGCAAGATAAGAGAGCAGAGGAGAGGATGGATGAAGGCAGTGAGAATGAATCAGGGTGCCTCCCCCTTGCTTTTTTTTGGTTTATTTTCTTCCTCATTTCTTCTCCAACAGGCAAGAAAGGGAAGAGCGGAGAGATGAGGAGTGTGTAAATAGAAGAGTGACATATTTTCATGTTTACCTCTTCCTTGTTCTTCTCCTGTTATCCGACTCCTTCTTCTCCTGAAAGAACCGCACGTTAGTCAAAGGTTTGTTGTTTTCCTCTTGTTGTCTGTTCCTTTCTCGCTGAATGGGAAGATCAAAAGAACCAGGGGAACCGTCTTCGTCCTTGTATATACCTTCTTTTTTTTCCTTAAACGAAGAACGGAAAAGTTGGAATGCAAGGGAGAGATTAAAGAAGGCAAAAGGAAGGGAACACGGGAACTCATCCCTGCCCTAGGGGGAGAGTGGGCCTTACGCAACAAACAAGTACTTGCTTCTCTTTCTTCCCGTCCAGGTGCTTCGCTCATCTAGTGTTATGCATTCTCTCCTCCATAAGCAAAACAAGAAGAGACAAAAGCTAGAAGGGAGAGAGCAGAGAGAAGAGGGAGGATGAATGGTGAGATTGTTCCTAAATCTTCATTCTGTAACAAGAGAACCACATGGAGGATGATTGCAGTGAGACTGAGTAAGGGCGCTTATCTTTATCATTTGTTATTTCTTCCTTGTGTGTTTCTTGTACATTCTGCTCGCGGCTTCCTTGTTTTTTGTTGTTATCTAGCTTGCTTAAGCACTCTTGTTAGTTCCTTGTGTTTCCCCTGTTGTTTGTTCCTTTCTAGCTGAACGGGTAGACCAAAAGAACATGCGCAAGTGGACAGGGGAACCGTCTTCGCCCTTGTATTTACCCTTTTCTTTCTCCTTGAAAGAAGGAACAGAAAAGTTGGAACGCAGGGGAAGGATTAAAGAACGCAAAGGAAGGGAACAGAGGAACTCAGAACAAACAAGTACTTGCTTCTTTCTCTTCCCGTCCATGTGCTTCGCTCATGTAGTGTTATGCATTCTCTCTTCCACAAGACAAACAAGAAAAGACAAAAGCTAGAAGGGAGAGAGCAGAGGGAAGAGGGAGGATGAATGTAGTGAGATTGGTTTGTGTTCTTAAATCTTCATTCTGCAAGAAGAGAACCACAGAAGAGAAAGAAGAAAGGATTAGAGGATGAATGCAGTGAGACTGGGTGTGGGCACTTATCTTTGTCAGTTGTTATTCCTTCCTCGTGTTTTCTTGTGCGTTCTGCTTAGAAAATTTGGAACGCAGGGGAGGGATGAAGGCAAAACTGAGGAATAAGGGAACTCAACTGCGCTCTAGGGGAAGACGAGCCCAGGGAACTCAGGCCTGCACTAGGTCTCTAGGGGGAGCCGAGACCCCCTTGCAACGAACAGCTGCCCGCTTTCTTTCGTTCTTTCGAGGGGTTTGTGGGGGGAGATCCCCGCGCGCAGCCCCAAATCCGACTTCGCGAGACTGTTTACTATTCTCTCCTCCATAAGAAAAACACAGAGCAGAGAAAAAGCGAGAAGAGAGGAGAGCGAGGACGAAGGTAACGAGATGATCTTGGGTTCTTGGACATTCATCTTTCTTTCCGGCAAGAACAGAGCCAGAGAAGAGAGATAAGAGAGCAAGATAAGAGAGCAGAGGAGAGGATGGATGTCTTCCTTGTTCTTCACCTGTTATCCGACTCCCTTCTCCTGAAAAATGTTTGTCGCATGTATGTTGTTTTCCTCTTGTTGTCTGTTCTTATCTCGTTGAATGGGTAATTAAGTTCAAAAGAAAAAGCGCAAGAGGACAGGGAACCGTCTTCGTCCTTTGGTTTACTTCCTTTTTTCTCCCTAGAAGAATGAACAGAAAAGTTGGAACGCAGGGGAGGGATCAAAGAACGCAAAAGGAAGGGAACACGGGAACTCATCCCTGCTCTAGGGGAAAATTAGGTCCCTTATGCAACAAACAAGTACTTGCCCTCTCTATCTCTTCCCACCCATGTGCTTCGCTCATCTAGCGTTATGCATTCTCTCCTCCACAAGCAAAACAAGAAGAGACAAAAGCTAGAAGGGAGAGAGCAGAGAGAAGAGGGAGGATCAATGTACTGAGATTGGCTTGTGTTCTTAAATCTCCATTCTGCAAGAAGAGCACCACTTATTCCTTCCTCGTGTTTTTCTTGTACATTCTGCTCGTGGCTTCCTCTTTCTTTTCCTTGTTGTTATCTAGCTTGCTTAAACTCTCTTGTTCCTTGTGCTTTCCCCTGTTGTCTGTTCCTTTCTCGCTGAATGGGAAGATCAGAAAACATGCTGGACAGGGGAACCGTCTTCGTCCTTGTATATACAACTTTCTGTCTCCGTAAACGAAGGAACGGAAAACTTGGAACGCAGGGGAGAGATTAAAGAAGGCAAGAGGAAGGGAACAGGGGAACTCATCTCTGCCCTAGGGGGAGAGTGGGCCTCCTTATGCAACAAAAAACTACTTGCTTCTCTCTCCGCTTCCCGTCCATGTGCTTCGCTCATCTAGTGTTATGCATTCTCTCTCGCACAAGAAAATCAAGAAGAGACACAAGCTAGAAGGGAGAGAGCAGAGAGAAGAAGGAGGACAAGAAGAGAACCACAGAAGGGAAAGAAGAGAGGATTAGAGGATGAATGCAGTGAGACTGAGTGTGGGCACTTGTCTTTGCGATGGGATTTCATTCCTCGTGTTTTTCCTTGTACATTCTGCCCGTGGTTTCCTCGTCCTTGTTCTTGTTGTTCTCTTTATCTAGCTTGCTTAAACACTCTTGCTAACTCCTGTAGATAAAATGAACATGCACAATTGGACAGGGGAACCGTCTTCGTCCTTCTTCTTTACCCCTTCTTTCTCCGTAAAAGACGGAACAGAACAGTTGGAGCGCAGAGGAGGGACTAAAGAAGGCAAAGGAAGGGAACAGGGGGGAACTCGTCCCTGCTCTAGGGGAGAGTGGGCCTCCCCTATGCAACAAACAACTACTTGCTTCTCGCTCTTCCCGTCCATGCGCTTCGCTCATCTAGTGTTATGCATTCTCTCCTCCATAAGCAAAACAAGAAGAGACAAAAGCTAGAAGTGAGAGAGCAGCCAGAAGAGGGAGGACGAATGGGTTGAGATTGACATGTGTGCTTTATATGTAGCCATTATTCTCCTCGGTAAGAAGAGCCAAGAGAGAGAGAGAGAGAGAGAGAGAGAGAGAGAGAGCGAGAGAGAGAGAGAGAGAGCGAGGGAGAGAGAGAGAGTGAGAGAGAGAGAGAGAGAAAAAAAAAAGAGGAGACGGTGGATGAAGGTAGTGAGACGGACTTTTTCTTTGATGATTCCTTCCACTTTCCTTTTCTTCTAAGAAAGGGAAGAGAGGAGAGGGTGTAAAGTGAATAGTGACTGAATGTAACACAGTTCCATGGTTCCTTGATCTTCTCCTGTTATCCGACCCCTTTTCTCCTCGACAACAGGAAGGGGTGATAAACCCTGGACTGTTCGCACAATCCTTTTATAACCGTTGAATGCACAACCCTAGACCATGAGCCCAAAAGCCATAAAATGTCACCTACTTTCTAGTAGCAATATGCATAATATAAAACGCAAGTACTCATTTGATAACTGTTAGTACTGTTGAAGTAAAACCCAAAGCAAGTCATCACATTATACCTAAAGGTCCATGGCACATATATATATATATTATAATCGCAAGCAGATAAGGACATGTATATGCATGCAGCCAGCCTGTCAGGAGGCGGGCGGCCGATGCCCCGGAGATGATCGCATCCGCGAGGTCCTGGCCAAGGTGAACTTGGCTTACCTTCACCAGCGCTATGGCCCGCACCTCGGTGGGGGGGGGGTGGGCGGGGGCAAGGGGGTTTAGGATGGATATAGGGGTTTGGGGTTGTTTTTTTAATAGGTATTTTGATGTAGGGTTTGGGGGGCTTGTAGGGGTTGAGGGGGGGTTTGGAGTTCATGGGGGTCAGGGTTGTGGGTCAGTGGGGTTTGGGGCTTTGGTTTCATGGAGTTTAATTGGGGCTTAGGGTTTATGGGGTTTCTGGTTGTGCACTTCCAGCCCGGCGCCTTGCGAGCACCTTCTCACTCCTGCAATCTTGTTACGTAATTGTTGCAGTGTAGGGTTTGTGATTTCATCAAGGTAGTAGCACAAGAAAGAGTAAAGAGTCGTAGTCAAGCTCATACTTGTAGCAGTAACTCTAGCCACAGGAACAGTATGGGAGTCTCTACTTGTCATAGACATCGCCAATGGAATCGTGACAGTTGACAGTAATCATCGAAAGATCAAAGACAATAGAACAAGTATGAGAGAAGTCATGAGAATGATCATCTCCATATTGAGGAACAACAGCAGCAAAGTCTGCGCCTGCAGCTTGGGATGTTCCCCCTTATACTAACAGTCCTTAATAAGGAATTATAATCGTGAGTACTACAATCCCTCTTAAGAACTGCCAGCCTAAGGGGGAACATCCCGACCTATCGCGGTGAGGTCTGGATGCGCCCATTGACTTTGACGCCGTCCTCTCTGGAGGCGAAAGGCAGCGGCTGGGCTTCGCACGGCTGCTGCTGCAGGAACATCTGCACACCGGATTGGCAAAGAGGGCGGAGGGAGTGGCCTACACCCTAGGGTTGCCTTAGACCCTACGGTCCGAGAGCCTATGAGGAGCAACATGAACCCTCAAAGGCTTTATGGTTCAGATACCCTAGTCGGGATTGTAGTACTTCCAGGAAAATAATTCTTAATCCCTGAAGCCCTACAAAACCCTCATGCCCTAAACTCCGACCCCTTAGCCCTAAACCCTAAACCACAAACCCTAAACCATAAACCCTAAACCCTAAACCCTAAACCCTAAACCCTAAGCATCTGAGGAGGTTTGCAATCCTGGACGAGGCAACCTCCGCCTTGGACAGGTCAAACCAGTCGGTCATGTACGAGAACCTGCAACGGCACTTTGGCGGAGCTGTGGGGGGTGAGGGTTTAGGGTTTAGGGTTTAGGGTTTAGGGTTTAGGGTTTAGGGTTTAGGGTTTAGGGTTTAGGGTTTAGGGTTTAGGGTTTAGGGTTTAGGTTTCAAGGTTTAGGGTTTAGGTTTCAGAGTTTAGGGTTTAGGGTTTAGGGTTTAGGGTTTAGGCTGGGGTTTACGGCTTTTCGTTTAAGTCCAGTCATGAGACCCTGTAAATAGCCTTCGGGGCACTACACTGGGGCCATGAGTTTGAAGAGTCCGCCCCCAAGTTCATTTGGAACCAAGTGGTACGAGTTACGAATACTTACCAGCTGTCAAGACATCCCTAAACCCCAAACCCGAAACCCTAAACCCTAAACTCTAAACCCTAAACCCCAAACCCTAAACCCTAAATCCTAAACCCTAAACCCTAGACTGCTGCAAGGCATGTGCAGGGTTTCGTGTCCATCGGGCACTCCCCTAGCTTGGAAGCATTCCACACAAAGAAGCTGGTGCTGGAGAGGCTCGGGCATCCAAATTAGTTGCTGGATCAGAGTTGAGGGTTTGGGGTTTGGGGTTTAGAGTTTTAGGGTTTAAGGTTTAGGGTATGGGATTTAGAGTTTAGGGTTTGGGGTTTAGAGTTTAGGGATTAAGGCTTAGAGCTTGGGGTTTAGAGCTTGGGTCAACTCCATCTCACCGAGTCGACTTGCTGAGTACCTTGCGGTCAGCTTGTTTCAACCATTCCTTTGCCGCAGGTCCTCTGAAGGCGCATCGGGGTGGCGGTTGGAGTCGCTCCACCATCCCACCTGATGACCGGCACACTTCGGACGCTTCGACGACTTGGGCATTGGATTCGGGCGGCCCTCTACGATCGATGGTTTGGCGAAGAGGGCTTCGAGGCGGCAGCGGCTCAGATGACTTGGGTCGGAACATGGAGCACCCGGACTGCCTCCCAGGAGGTTGGAGAGATGTTAACAACTGGTCAGTTTTCTAACAGTAGTGGCGCCTTGTTATGCCCTAAGGGTCCATGTACCTACATGCATACACTTGGGCCCTGTAAACGAACCTTTTGTAGGCCCAAGTATGTACAGGTACATGGGCCCTGAGGAAGGGCTTCAAAGAGGACGCCTACGAACCTAGAAGCCCCGTGAAGAGAACTGACCGGCGCCCCTGTGGCAAAGGGCCATGGAGCTCCGCTATGAAAAGCTCCGTTCGATGGGTTTTCTCAGGTCTTTCAAGCTCTACCCCTATTCCCTTACGGTCCATACTTTGCATTCCTTCTCCCTGCTGTATTGGTTGATCAATTTCGACGATCCGGGTTGACTTGCCGCAAGCTCTGGCCCCATCCGAGTCTGGGCAAGCAGGGTTATAACCGCAGCTAACCCTGCTTTTAAGTATCCATGAACCTCCGAGCAGTTTCTGTCCCCCTGGATCCACAAAGTCGATCGCACTTTGCAAGGATTTAGGCTTTGGGGCTACAGCGTGAACTCCCCAAAGGTATCCTCATGTCTCGAAATCCTAAACCCGAAACCCTAAACCCGAAACCCTGAACCCTAAACCCCAAACCCTAGAGGGGTTTGGGTCCCCAAGCCCTCCCCCCCCCCCCTTCGTTCGGGCTTCGACCCTCATCCTTCCCATCCTGGGACGCGAAGAAGGAGCCCCAAGACCTGTCCTGGTACTTCCAGCAGCAGAAGCAGTTCCTAGACGACCTGCGGGCCTGGAGCTCGGTTTAGGGTTTAGGGTTCAGGGATTTAGGGTTTGGGGTTTAGGGGTTAGCTCAGGCTATCCGACTGGCCAGGGGCCTCTGATTTCTGAGCGCGTTCGGGTCGTGAGGCAGGCGTGGAGGCAGCGCAGGAGCCCAGAATCGGTAATCGAACTCCCATGTGGCAGAAACAGCTCGGCCCCGGAAATGGGCCTATGGGGTTTGCGGATTGAGAGGTATTTGGGCTTAAGGGCTCTAGTGACTCCAGCTTCTAGATCCTCCCAGGTCTGCGAGGATCGCCACGACGCGTGGAATTCCAAGGCTGATGGGCTCAGCCATATATTTCTTTTTTTTATTGCAGCATGTAACTTACAGGTATAGTATATTCTGAACATATCTTCTCAGCCTGTCAGGCTTGCTTGGCAAGACCGTCTGAAGTCCTTCAGCAGGTTCTATGGTGCCGGTACTGTGGGCAAGTCCTGAGTGATTGGAGAGTTTTAGGGTTGTAGATTTTCAGGGTGTTAGGGTTTTGGGGTTGTAGGGTTCTAGGGTTTCGGGGTTTTTAGGGTTGTAGAGATCTTGGGTTTTAGGGTTTGGGGTTTCGGGGTTTTCGGGTTCATGGCCCGATTTGTCATGTGAGCCCCCGGCTGTAGCGAGAGATGCTCTTCCTACCAATCAGGATTCCGAACCGACCGAGAGACCTAACCCACAGCAAGATAGACCCCGGGAGGATCCAAAAAAAGTACCCTATGCTACCATTGGGTCATTCTTAGGAACCCTTAAGAGGATCCATTTTTGGATCCTCCCAGGGGAAGAAACGTGCCGAAACAACCTCCGGGCAGACCCCGACCAAAACCCTCCTGGCGATGTCCTAGCGCTGTCAAGGTCTTCATGCAGGAGGAGGAGATCGAGAAGCTGAAGAGTCAGGCCATGACAAATTACAAAGAATAATGAGTATACATATACATATATGTATATATATGTATGTATGTATGTATGTATGTATGTATGTATGTATGTATGTATGTATGTATGTATGTATGTATGTATGTATGTATGTATGTATCTAGTTATCTTTTTACAGTCTATATAGTTACCCCAAACGACATATCACGAAAGGCAGGTTGACTTCACTTGATGCTGTAAATTGGGTTTGGGCGACGGCTGCCTTTCAGCGGTTATACCTTGGGATGTTCCCCCTATGTTGCTGACAGTCCTTTATAGGGATTACAATAGGGGATACTGTAATTCCTATTGAGCACTGTTAGTATAAGGGGGGGCATCCCAAGGTATTCCCAATCCTAAGCCCTCGACCCTAAACCCTAAACAAAAAACCCTAAACCCTAAACCCCTTAACCCTACTTCTGGGCCTCGTGGGAGAAGGTTTTGCTTGGGGGAGAAGCCGAGGTGAGAGCCTTGGAGGAGGAGCGCGACGGACTGCGAAAGGACAGCAACCTGTAGGGCCCTTCGAGAGCCTTCAGGCAGAGGTTTAGGGTTTAGTTTAGGGTTTAGTTTAGGGTTTAGTAAGGGTTTTTGGGTTTAAGCTTTCTGTTGGTTTGAGCTGCTATGGCGTGTGACCCCATTCTCTGCTACTTGGAGGTTCATGGGTGCTTATAAGTAGGGTTATGCGTGCCCTAAGTAAGGTTATCACCAGAGCTACCCTGCTGCTCAGAATCCTACTTCTAAGTACCCACGAACCTCTAAGTATGGTGCCTCACACCCTACGGCATGGCCAGGATTTGAAGGAGACGATGCGAGAAAGAGACGAGTGGCAGGCGACGTTCCTAAAAGGGATGCTCAGCGCAGGCCTTGTAAATGACCTAAAGAGACCCCCAACTATGTATGAACCCCCACAACGTCTGTGTGTGCGCCCTACATTTGCTCTACAAGCCCAATAGACCTTACAAGCCCTACAAGCCCAATTGCACCCCACAAAGCCTACTTAGAGATTCATGACTCATGGGTACTGACAAGTAGGGCTGCCAGTACCCGGGACAAGGTTGTTATAGCCATAGTTGCCCTACTTACCACCCTACTGACCCTACCTGCAAGTACCCATCGATGTATGCATGGACCTCTAAGTGCGCCTGACGGCTGCTAACGCAGTACCTTTTTGTTGCAGTATACCATAGCCACCTATAGCCAACTCAAAAAAAGGCACTACATGCTGAGCCTTCCGGCAAGCCCCGAAGCCAAAAGGCCCTAAAAAACCGGCGGGGCGCGGGCGAGGTCTCCGCGCTGCGCGTGATGTCGAAGCGCGAGTTTCGGTCCAGCGTCCAGCACCCAGTTGGTCGGGGGTTTAGGGTTGAGGGGTTAGAGTTCAGGGTCCAGAGTTTAGGGTTTAGGGTTCAGAGTTGAGATTTTCGAGTTTACGGTAAAGAGCTTTGAATGTAGGGCATAGGGTTTGGAGTTTAGAGTTTAGGGTTTTGGGGCATAGGGTTTAGGGATTTGCCGTCCCTTTCTAGGGCTTAGGGTGAAGAGCTTGACGGGTTTGTAGGGGCCTAAAAAAGGTACGAACCCTCAAGCTCCCCTGCAGCCCCTGAGCCGCATGAACCCTGAAACTCGGACCAATCAGCCCCTCCCCCTCCCCTTTTCCAACAACCCTAAACCAAAAACCCTGAACCTCAAACCCTGAACCCTAAACCCTGAACCCTAAACCCTAAACCCTAAACCCCAAACCCTAAACCCCAAACCCGAAACCCTCAGCCGCTTTGTTGAGGTGGAAGCCTTGGAAGCTGCGAGGCGAAGGTCCTTTTGGTTTAGGGTTTGGGGGTTTAGGGTTTAGGGTTTAGGGTTTTTGGGGCTTGTTTTGAGGGTTTAGTATTTAGGGTTTAGGGTTTAGGGCTTTTGGGGTTCATTTTTGAGGGTTTAGTCGGTTTAGTATTTAGGGTTTAGGGTTTTTCGGTTTTTCGGGTTTAGGGTTTTAGGGTTTAGGGTTTGCGTTAAGGGCATAAGGGCGTAGGGGTGTCTTAGAGCTTCCTGGGTTAAGGTTTGAGGTTTTGGGGTTTTGGGGATGGAGGGTTGAGGGCTGATGGCTTGGGGCTTGGGGCTTGAGGGTTAGCAAGCATGGGTTTAAGGTGAAGGCTTGCGCGTCTAGGGTTTAAGGCTTATAGGGTGTAGGTTTTGGGGTTTAAGGGCTCAGGTTTGGACGCAGGGTCGGATTTTGCCTAAGACCTCGCATACCCGCAGTTGTCAGATTTTAGCCATATCGGGCTTTAGGGTTTAGGGCGGGGTTTCCCTTGTTTAGGAATTTGTGCTGTGTGACTTAGGCGATTTTAGTGATGTGTGTCTTTCAGGCTCTCAAGTTCTGAGTTTTTTGGGGCTATGCGGCCTGTATGGCACTAGGCAGCTTGAGCACTCTGCCAGGCCGTTGCCACCATGAGTGAAGGGACGCTGGGCAAGTTCATGACAAGGGTTTCAGGTTTTCGGGCTTACGCATCACGATCACGCCAGGTTAGAACTAGAACTGAAGTCCCGGATGCGGTGTAGTTCTGGGTGCCAGATGCACCAGGACCACCCAAGTTGCTTGGGTCCTAGACGTTTTGTTACATATTCCCGTCTTGCTTGATCTTCGGTCCCATGTACCATCATGTACCCACCAGAGCACGAGAAACGAACCATCAAAGTGTCCCGAAGTCAGAACAATCCCACAACTTACAAGCCCTAATCCTGAAACCTAAACCCTGAAACCTCAAACCCTGAAACCTCAAACCCTAAACCTGAAGCCAAACCCGAAACCCTAGAAACCCAACAGAATTTGTAATTGGCATCCGATGCCGCGCACAGCCGCTTCAGCCCTGCCATGGGCTAAACCAGAGCGGAATTCGCCTGCACTGCTTGGGGTTTCGAGGAAGACAAGAACAAAACAAAAGAGAAGGTTTCAGGTTCGTCGGTTGCAGTATATATGTAGGCTTTCGGGATAATATATATATATATACATATGTATATAACCATATATATATATACACATATATGTGTAGCACCCACACACTTTACGGGACACGGATTCCAAAGCGGGGCTTGCCTATAGCGCTTTTAGCGACGAAGGGGCTGGAAGACCCAGCCTTGTTGTTCGGCCAAGGCAGTTCCTTGGGAGTCGTCCCCGGGTTTAGGGTTGAGGGTTTAGGGCCAGATGGGAAGATCTTTGGTTCTTAGGGTATTTGGGTTAGCCAAAGGGTGTCTGTGACGATGTTTCGGGTATCTAGGGTACGCGCTTAGGGTGTTTGGGGTATTCGGGGGTGTAATTACTCAAAGGGTAATTCGGTTTTGGGTTCAAGCATGCCTCAAAGATGACTCCCCCACGTCGTGTCCCAACTCGGGACAGAGCAGCGCAGCATGATGTAGCGCGAAAAGCAAGCGACGATCCGACGTCGATACCCCGGGGTCCCTGTACAGCTGAAGTTTCGGGTTTAGGCTTCCGGTTGACCGTCAGCTGCGAACCCCGTAACCTTGCAGGGGTGCGCTCCTTTGGCCCTCTGGGAGTTGCTAGTCCCGAAAAAGAAGCCCAAAGAAGACCGCCTTTTGCGGGTTACTCACTTGGGGTCTGGTCAGGTCAGTTAAATATCAAGCCCCCATGGTTGTACTTGGAGGTTCATGGTTTCTTATAAGCAGGGTTATAAGTAGGGTAGCGATGCTTATAACATTCGTAGAGTACTTCTGGCCCCAATCGTAAGGACCCTACACCCTAAACCCTAAACCTGAAATGCTGACTCCCTGGCTCAAGTTTAGCAGGGCAATTTGGAAGTGGTCTCTTTCCAATGTGAATCAAAGCTGCTTGGATGGCAATGTTGTAAAAAATGTCAAGTGCTGGCAAGCTACTATTTTGCCACCGCTTGCTTGATACCCAGGCATGTATGACTACAACTTCCATGCAGTTGTAGTTCGGAACCTTTCCACTCCAGCATCATAGGTCGGCTTTTGTGGGACTTTACGAGCCGCCCTCAGATATGTGGGGCCACTAAGGATAACGAACCACCCTTTTCGTGTCTTGCGTATCTTCTCCCGGCGAGGGAGCGCGACGTGGCCGCAGTCCTAAACCCTAAGCCCTAAGCCCTAAGCCCTAAACCCTAAACCCTACACCTGAAAGCCCACCCTGGCAGGGGGTTAGGATGTGCATGTTTTGGCTCAGGACCTGAGACTACCGAGATGTTTGCGAACAGCCTTTGGCAGGCTGGGGGTGTTGCAGATAGCCCTGAACCCTAAGCCCTAAACCTAAAACCCTCAGGCCCAAATCCTATAAAGCCCTAAAACCCTACATCAGACCCTGGAGCGGTAGGGATGTGACAATGTCCACTGTGGCAAGTTTGCCGAGTGAAGTGGGACGTTCTTTTCTTAGGGTTTAAGGTTTATAGGGTTTAGGGTTCAGGGGTGCCTGCCTCGAGGCACAGAAACTACTTCATGGATCCCAGCGCGGATCCCAGATGCGGAAGCGCGTATGAATGCTGTCCACACTTCAGCCTGAGGGGAAACATGGGTAAGTTTAGGGTTTAGGGTTTAGGGCATGGCGAGATGCGGGGGTTTGCATGAATCAGGGACCCCGAATATAGACCCCAAATAGTAGGTTCCGCCGATTGAGAAGGACCCACTAAGGTACCCCCCCCCCCCCCCCAAAGATCGTAAACCCCCATGTGAGTTGTCCCTAAACCCTAAACCCTAAACCCTAAACCCTAAACCCTAAACCCTAAGCCCTATTGTCAGGAGCCACATCATGCTACCGCTGAGCCTTGTGGTGACGGCATCAGTGCTGGTCCTCTACAAGCACTGGAAGGCACAAGGGGACTCCTCAGAATCCTCCAAGATCCTAAGCCGCAAAGGGTTTAGGGTGTCAATTTCGGGTTTAGGGATTAGGGTTTAGGGAAGCCCTGAAACCCTGTACCTTAAACCCCAAAACCCCAAAACGCCCAAAACTCCCGAAAACCCCAGAACTCCCTAAACCTTAAACCCCTAAACCCTGAGCCCCCAGCAGGACGACCAGGGAGGTGATCCAACCAAGACCTTCCTTGCTTTGCCCCTCGGCGGCACTATGCTAGGTAGTGGGTTTAGGGTTTGTGGTTCCTTTTTTTTGTTTAAGAGGGTCATATTTAGGAATATGTTTCGGGCTCTAAGGGCCATCCTAGTATGGCGGCGCCCGGCGTGGGATGCATGTGTTTAGGGTTCAGTGTTCAGGGTTCACTGGAGAGTTGCCCAAATGCAGGGTAATTTCCATATTTGTGGCGTTCCTAGATGATAATGTGGGAGGGGGGGGGGGGGGGGGGGGCGGACGCCTCTATTCTGGGACATGATCCACTTTGTCACACGGCGTCCAGGATTGTGGTGCAGATGTTGCCGCTGGTCTTCTTGGAGAAGAAGATCTTGTCTTGCCCGGATCCGGTGAGCATGCTCTCCCGGTTCGGAAGCAAGGCAAGCAGGGTTCGGCTGTGGAGTTTCGGCAACTTGAAAAAGACGTGTAACCCGAGGCTGAAGTAGCTTCATGCAGTGGTTTTTCTTTGCACAAAGCAGATAAACAGACCCAGACGTTGCACGCTGGCAGCTGTTCGGCCCGACGCAGCCTGGCAGCCCCTCCTCCGCGTTGCCGCAATGGCATTTCCTGTTGGCCGGCCAGCCTTCCTGCTTGGAACATGGAAGGGGCGGGGTAGGGTTTTGCCCAGGGGCGTGGAGTATCTGGAGACCTTTACGTGCTTGTTGTTGAGGTCGGAGCCTGCCATGGTCATCAACTGGCAGCAGTTCACCAAGAATGCCGAGTCCTTGAAGCCCATGCATGCTGAGAATGGCTTCCTGAAGATCCTACCCAAGCCTGAGGAAGGGGAGGTTAAAAAGGCCGAGCTGATGCTCAGCCACCCCTTCAGTGTGAACGAGTACTACAAGTCCGGGCACTTCGACTTTGAGAAATGCACCTTCGAGTGTGCCGCCGAGACGGAAGACTGCTTCCAGCGAGGCCCGGCAGCCGGAGGGAAGCTCGCCACCGGCTCGCGGCGCGTGTACCGGCTCGCGGAGGACGGGAAGCTGGTGTACGACATGTTCTTGCGCACGCAGGGCTCCGAGGAGTTCGTGCACCACCTGCACTGTGAGTTGGAGAAGGAGGCGGAGTCGCCCTGACTCTTTCACCCACCTGGGCCTTTCGCTCATGCAGCGAGAAGGATTCCCGAAAACCCCCCCCCCACGTGGGGGGGGGGGGGGCGGGGGGGCCCTTTTGTAGCAGCGAAGCTACAGCTTTAGCTCTGTCCTCCAAAGCCCATGAAGATCCCCTTGGTGAACCGCAAGGAAAAAAGGGCTGGGAAACCTTGCTCTTGGACTTCAAGCTCGTATAGCTAACCCCTAACTAGGTAGGCCCTTGGGAGATTTTATAGGTTCCCTTATTGGGTTTAAGAGGATCCTATTCAGGAATCTCTTTTTTCAGAGGGTTTTTAGGGCCATCCTGGCTAAACACCCCCCCAGAGCCACAGCCCTTTTGCTACTCTTGGCAGGTGCTCTTGATGCACGGCTGCTTTCTGGCCCTACGCATCTGCACGTGGCCCCTGCTTGAGGCAGGACTACCGCAGGGATCTGGATGTTACTTAAAGGGTCATTGTTTAGGGTTTAGGGTTTAGGGTTATGGGGGGTCACTTAGTAAGTGTTGGGTTGTGAATTCCATGGGTGGCTTATCAAGTTGGGTTAGATGTACCCTAAACAACCTTCTAAAAACTAGAGGGTTATCCTAAAACGAATGTGAGGCAGCAGCTCGTTATGACCACAGCCGTTTCCCGAGCTGTGACCCACTTACAAGTACGCAAAAAAACCTCCAAGCATCATAAGACCTAGCATGGGCCCTCGCCCGCTCGCACATTCTTGGGTGGGAGCCATCGTTTCGGGGTGTAGGGTTGCACGAGACCGTTGAACCTAAACCCTAAGCCCGAAGCCCAAAACCCTAAACCCCAAACCCTAAGCCCTAAACCCTAAACCCTAAATCGTGCACCTGAAGAATCACATTGCGTGGCGGAGGACAAGGAGTCCAGCCGGCCCCAGGCACCTGTCCCGAAACTCTCCTGAGACCAAGACCAAATCGCACACTCTCCCGCCCCTTTAATACCTTTCCACACAGAACTTAACCCTAATCCCTAAACCCGAAACCCTAAACCCTCAAGCCCCCTGTAACTTGAAATTATTCAAAAGTTTAAAAACCGAAACTTTCCTCGAAACTTTCCCCGGACCTGAACCCTGAATAATTTCAATAAACCCTAAACCCTAAGCCCTAAACCCTAAACCCTAAACCCTAAACCCTGAACCCTGAACCCTGAACCCTGAACCCTGAACCCTGAACCCTGAACCCTAAACCCTGAACCCTGAACCCTGAACCCTAAACCCTGAACCCTGAACCCTAAACCCGAACCCCCCATGATAGACTGCAGGTGGGCATTGGGGTGTGCAACTTGATCGGCTTCGCGGCCGTGTGCGCGGCATTATTCTTTGGCCACTCTTGCAGCATCCAGTTTATCGGGGGGTTTAGGGTTTAGGGTTTAGGGTTTAGGGCCAAGTTTAGGGTTTAGGGGTTTAGGGATTTAGGGATTTAGGGATTTGGGGATTTGGGGATTTGGGGGCTTGAGGTTGTAAGGCTGTACAACTTGGAGGTGCATGGGTATTCGCAATGAGCGGTTAAACGTAGGGTTATAAGTAGTAGGGTAGCTGTGGAGAAAACCCACGTAGGGCACCTAGAACAGGTACCCATGAGCCGGGTTTATAGTATATAGGTTCAGCGGCGTTTAGGCTTGTCGTTCAGGTTGGAGAATGAAGAGTTCAGGGTAGGGTCAGGTGTGCATCCCAGTCCTACCTGAGGGCCCCGCCCCCTCCTCCCGACCTCGAATACCCTTTTTCTGAAGCCCAAAGGCACGGTCATTGTGAGGCAAATTTAGGGTTTGCTTGGGGGCTGTGGTGGTAAATTCCACGGCTGCTTGATTCTCATCCACCAGCGCCACGAGCATGACATCGAAGTGATTCTCGCTGTTGGCAAGTGGAGCACTGCTACAGATATCTTGTTGTGTTTGTCGGTAATCTTTATTATCACACCGTTGTGCCCTTCTTTGCCTTGAGATTTAGCAGACAGACTGCATGCGCCATCCCTGCAGCACTTCCGTTTCAAAAAACCCGCTTAGGCGCTTATAAGCGAGCCCTTCTGCGGCCTACGCCCGGGCGTTCGGCGTCTAAGATGAGTAGGCATTTCGCCTTCAAGGCGTGCATGCCCGTGCTCGCATCCTGTGTGGCTCCACGCGCCACAGTGCTGGAGCCCAAGGCGCCAGTCTTGTTGGATATTGGCAAGGCCAAGCAGATGAAGAGGAGCAACCGGCCCCTAAACCCTAAACCCTAAAGCCTAAACCCCAAACCCTAAATCAAGCAGATGAAGAGGAGCAACCGGCAGCTTGTGTGGCATCAGCTCCCAGACAGGATCGTACTTCTCAGGCATGGTGAGAGTGAAGGGAACCTGGACCACGAGCCTATCTCCCCCTTGGGAATTATTTTTGTTCATATAAACCCCAACAGGATATTAAAGTTAATATTTTTATTAAAGTTCAAAGGGGAGTATAGGAGCTCTACACGAGCAAGGGCGATGCAAAGCTGGAGCTCACTGCGAAGGGCATACAGCAGGCCATGGACTCAGGAAGGAAGCTGCAAGCGATAACTGACATGATCAGCACCAAGGACAAGAGGATCTGTGTGTGCATCTCGCCTTGGGAGAGGACGGAGCAGACACTCCTGGGCTTGTATAAAGGCGGCTTTGGGGGGCCAGAGCAGAGGCAAGTGAAGTACGTACACCTGAACACCCAGATACGGGAGCAAGAGTTTGGCAACTTCCAAGACCCAGGGCTGACTTCGAAGGTGACTTGGAGGTTCATGGATACGTTTAGGGTTTAGGGTTTAGGGTTTAGGGTTTAGGGTTTAAGGATATAAGTACCTTAAATAGGGTTATAGGTGAGAACCATAGCTACCCGACTTCTAACCCGACTTATATGTACCCATGAACCACAAAAAGGTTAGGGTGGAAGCACCCCGGGTCGGACGATTCTACTATCGGCGCCCGGCTGCGGAGAGTTCTGCGGATGTCTTTGATAGGGTGACGCAATTCTGGCGCACTCTTCTGGAGGATAATGGCAGTGGGCACGGGGTGCTCACGCATGAGAACGCGAACTACGACATGTGTGTAGTGGTCACACATGGCCTGACCATCCGGTTGATGCTCATGTGCCTGTTCGAATGGTCGGTCGACACATTCGAGTCTGTCTGGAACTTGGAGAACTGCGAATACCTCATGCTGAAGAAGAACACGGACAAGCAAAGGTATGAAATTTGCATTGAAGAGTCGAACTTGTCCAAGGCATCAAGGAACATGCCCTGGGCCACACGCAAGGTCTGGGTTGTCTTCAAGGACTTCGGGGTACATGGATACTTATAGGTGGGGTGATAAGTGGGGTAAGTATGGTGATATCCTTAATTAGGGTACTTCGAACCCTACGCAAAGTAGCCCTAAGCCCTAAGCCCTCAGCCCTAAACCCTAAACCCTAAACCCTAATGTTGACTTCACATTAGTGATTCCCGCCGCAATTGTAAAATCCCGCTGCCGGAACACAATATTGTAACCCGCCACAATTGTAAAATCCGACCCGGGAAATCCGGTTTTTACGGGCGTGGTGCTACTACCTAATACTAAAACTAATGGTACGTCCTACCAGGATTTAGGCGAATACAATTGAGGAGGCCCTGGCCGGAGAGATTGATCAATCAAGGGGGGGGGGGTTTATTAATGCGAAGTCAACATTAAACCCTACCCACATGAACCTTCAAGGAGGCAAAGGATCCTGGTGCGGCATCGAATGAGGTGCTGAAGATGAAGATCGAGGCGGCGAAGACGCACCTCCAGTCGGCAAAGGACGCGCTGCTTGCGGAGGATGTCGGTTCCTAGGTAGGGTTTTTGGGATAATTTGTGTATTTTCCCTTAAGTAGGCGTCTAGGGGGGGGTGTCTAGGGCTTAGGTGGGTTTAAGAGGATCATATGTAAGAATCTTGTTTTTCAGAGGGGTTTTAAAGGTTCATCCTAGGTTCAGACACTGGAGACTTTGATAAAGACCTGGAGATGGAGGTGCAGAGGATCAGCAAGGCCATCGATCGCCTGGAGAACCAGCTTCTCCGCCTTCGCTCGAAGCCCTACACCGTCATCGACTACCTTGAGATACCGCAGCCCCGGACCATGCAGAAGCATGAAGTCTTGGAAAGACTGGTCCCAGGCCACAACCACGCCGGGAGAAGTCCCGAGGAGCTGAGAAAGATGAAGGATGCGCCCAAGGAAAGCGACATCTACTGCTTTGATTGGTGGGGGGATGACCTCAGCAGTCAAGGCAAGAACCTGCGGACTATCCGACACGGCCACACGGCAAATCCAATCTGAAAATCACCTGGCGATGGTGGAGAGTGCAGGGCATTGAGCCGCGGAAACTTAAACCCCGGATTAGGACTTCCCCGGTGTTTCCCTTTTCCCCTTCTTGTAGGTTCGGCTGCAACTGAAAACCTGTGTACTTGAAACCCCTAAACTCAACCCTAGACCCTCAAACCCTAAACCCTTCCCCCACCCCTGAACCCCCGAAACCTTAGCCACCCGAAAGGGTCCACTTCTACAAGGGTAGTTACATTGTCCTCGTTCCCTCGCCTCCCTTAAAGGGTTCTGATGTATGGGCCCTTGGATTTCATAGGGTATAGAAGGGGTACAAAAGGGGTCCCCTTCTCAGGGTTTAGGGTTTGGGGTTTACGGTTTAGGGTTGAGGGAGCAGTGAAAAAACGGGTCGTCTATATATGGGGGTTGTCTCAAAATCAGGGTCCATTACTTTCTAGCAGGAGGGGCCTTGGTTTGTTTGTAAGGAGCCCAAGTATAAACGACAGAAATAGGCCGACCCCGAAGTTTGGAGAGCCCTTATGCGTCCACGCATGATCGGATCTGTGGCAGAAATGCACAGACAAGCAGAAATCAGCAGCTTGAAAGCACAAGCACGAGACCATGTGCAGGAAACTATGAGGTGGTGGTAAAACCTGAAAGGGCAAATTCACGACCAGATCAACCAATACCGTCGCCATGCACAACTGTCTTCGCTGGCAATCTGCTGCGACCAGTTTGACTCTCCCTCTCTCTGACATTCAGTGCCTACCTATTGGCTTCATCTTCCTTGTCAGCCCTCTATGTTTCGGACACTCAATTAATTCCAGATCATCTCGCCTCTTCTCATTCCAGCTTTTGAGCGGCAGAATGCTTTCTCCCAGCCCTAACCTAAAAACCTACATGCTAAATACAAAGCTACGCTGGACCCTTAAACCCTAAACACCTGAACCTTTGAACCTTCGAACCTTTCTGAACTCTGGACCCTAAACCCTCTAATTAACTCCTGAACCCTCAACTTCCAAACCCTCAACCCTAAAAGCTCAGCCCTCAGCTTCCAAACCCTAAACCCTAAGCCCTCAACCCTAAACCCTCAATTTCAAACCCTAAACCCTTAACCCTCAACCCTAAACCCTCAATTTGGAACCCTAAACCCTAAGCCCCAAACCCTCAACCCTCAACCCTCAACCCTCCAGCCTCAACCCTCAACCCTCAAACTTCTATTCCAAACCCAGGCTTTGGGTTCCAAGCGTCCATGCTGCTGCAGCAGATGGACTTGTTGGGACGCTGGGCCTGGGAGCTGCCCATATGGGTGGTTCAGGGTTTGGGGTTTAGGGTTTAGAGTTTAGGGTTTTCTAGGTAGGCCCCTGGGACATTTTGAGATTTCCCCTTATTGGGTTTAAGAGGATCATCTTCAGGATTGTTTTTCAGAGGGTTTCAAGGGCCATCCTAGCTATCTAGGCATTACTCACGTTTGTAGGTGTTAAGGTCGTGCACATTGTTTCGGGTAGGGCTGTAGGGCTTGCTTCGAAGTGGCCGACACATGCGATCTTTTCCTAAACTTAAACTCTGAACCCTGAACCCTTAACCTAGGAATGTTTGTTCAGAGGAGTAGAGGCTTTAAATGCCAACCTGAGACCCTAATACGAAAAGCCGAGTGCCCAAGCTTGCCCCGCCTTTCCAAAGGCCCGTGTTTTTGGTGCCTGAGAAAAGCTCCCTTGTTTTTTTTTTTGGGGGGGGGGGGGGGGGGGGGGTAGAAGAGGGAGGGATGCCATGTTCCGTAAAGTCCAGACAGTAAAGGGATGCCAAATTTCAGAACCCTACGTCTTTAGGGGTAGATTGTGCATTTTTGCTTCCGCGGCTGTTTTGCACCACAGCCAGGATTCGTCATGGGCCATGAAAGCTGAATGACAGAGTGTTCTTGTGGCGGTGCAGGCTATGTTCCCAAGCCCTTTCGCGCAAACCTCAGTAGACAGGTCCTACCCGATAGGAGCCCAATACCTCTTGTTTGAGGAAAATACGTCGTAAAGCATTTTTTGAAGGTAGGATTCCCTTATATTAAGGACCATATTCTTGAGTTACACATCGGACTTATGGGGCCCCATTGGTACCCTAAACCCTAAACCCTATAATGCATCCCAAATGCGCCGAGGGCTTGTCGCTCTTGGGATCGGCGGGGCCTTCCTCACGGAGGTGTGGAGCCCTGGTCCCGGGGTAGGTTTGAACATAATTAGGGTTTAGAGCTTAGGGTTTAGGGTTCAGGGTCCCTAAATCCCCTATGTCATCCTCATAAAGCCACAGAAATTTAGTCTTTCACAGGGCCCCCCAAACCTGCCTGCCGAGCGCAGACAAGGAGTCGTGTGCGACTCTTGCGGGGTTCTATATTCAGGAATTTGTTTCAAAGGCTTTGAAGGGCCATCCTAGTTAGCGTGCCCTAAAGAGGGTGAGACGCTTCTGAGGTCGTGGACTTTCACAATCACCAGAGCCTGCTGGAAGGCCGCCTTTCGCTTTGATGGTTTGCAGCGCACGGTGCCGGTACAGCAGGCAAGTAGGCATGTGCCAGGCATGGGAAGAATGCATGCTGAAACAGCTTAAAAGAACGGTAGAGAGAGAGAGAGAGAGGGAGCGACAGAGACAGCGACAGAGACAGAGGCAGAGGCAGAGGCAGAGTGTGAGCGTAAGCGTGAGAGTGACAGTGACAGTGACGGTACTGACAGTGAGGGTGAGAGTGAGAGTGGAGTGAGAGTGAGAGAGTGCCAGCTGGAGAGGGAGAGAGGGCGAGAGAGGGAGAGAGTGAGCGACGAGCTGTCATAAACAATCCCACCCATTCGGCGACAAGCTACAGACGCCAAGGGCAAAAGGGGGAAAAAAGCACATAGGGGGTTAACATCTCGCGGCTGAAGTTGACCAGAGCGTTCCCAGTGTTGGAAGGTCGAGGCTTCGAGCGTGTGAGTATTGACATTGACCACTAGGACCACTAGAAACACATCCTCAATGGCCTCTGTAAGGGGGTGGTGAGTTAAAACACCACCACCCTTTCCCCCCCACCCAGCCATGCCGTGGGGTCTGGGCTTTCAGGTTTCGGGTCTTCCGAACCTGCAGCTGCGGGGAAGGCACCATCTTCACCTCGGCGAACTACATCGAAATTCTGGCCTTTGTGCTCACCTTACGCCCGGGGATCGTCACTGTCCTCCAGTCTTTCAGCCCTAAACCCTAAACCCTAAAACCTAAACCCTAAACCCTAAACCCTAAACCCTAAACCCTAAGGTGCCGGCCGTCTGGATGGTTCATCAGACGGCAAAGAAAGCGGAGGACTGGAGCAGCATCAGCGGGGCAACCCGCGAGAAGCAGGCTCGACCGCTGTTGTCACCTCAAAGTTGCTCTTGGTTTAGGGTTCAGGGTTCAGGGTTCAGGGTTCAGGGTTCAGGGTTCAGGGTTCAGCGTTTAGGGTTTAGGGTTTAGGGTTTAGGGTTTAGGTTTAGGGTTTAGGGTTTACGGAAGATCATGTCACCTGAATGTGGATGCACGAGGCAACTGCTTTCTTCGCGTTCCTGGTTTGCTTCTACATCTTGGAGGACTCAGCTCGAACACCGTGGTGGCAAGCCTGAACCCTGAACCCTGAACCCTAAACCCTAAACCCTAAACCCTAAACCCTAAACCCTAAACCCTAAACCCTAAACCCTAAACCCTAAACCCTAAACCCTAAACCCTAAACCCTAAACCCTAAACCCTAAACCAAGCCCACTAGGACTTGATCTCTGCCTACCGCCTCATCAACGTTGAACCGATGGGAGCTGTGGGCGGATGGACTCAGACTTTTGGGGCTTAGGGTTTCGGGTTTAGGGTTTAGGGTTGAGGGTGCTCCCCGCCGGTGCAACCCCGGTGTAGGTTGGATGCAGGGTTTGGATGGTTTGTGGCTTTCGGGGGCCCTACGCTTTAAGCCCGAAGGCAGTGCTTGGCAAGGTATGGGTTCGGACGGTTCGGGCTTTCAGTGTGCAGCGCCGTGGCCTTCTGTGTGTTGGGCTGGGTTTAGGGTTTCTGTCTCGGGGCCTCCCTAGGCCACATTGTGCACTTCCTGCTGCTCTCCGACTTTGCCTGCTTCTTGCTGGCCCACATCTACAATCCAGACAAGCTGTCCGGAGGTCTGCTGCGGCGTGGGCCCCAGTCAGACCTTTGAGCTCCTTTGAGAATAATTGGGGTGGGTAGGATCGGCCACGAGCTTGAGAGATGGCTCAAGAGATGTCACTGGCTTTTGCTGCGCAGGTGGTGGGGGCCAGAGCAGCACTGGGTGTGAAGCTGCTGACAGCAACCTGGGGGGCAAAGCAACTTGGGTATGACGCACTTGGAGTCGGATGAACCCACTTTCTGCAAGCCCCGAGGCCAGGATGAGAACCACATAGCATCGCTTAAAGCCAACGATTTTATCCATCCTTATCTTTCCTACCTGCCATGTAACACCCTGCCTCTTGTTCCTGACAGACACCAGCTGCCACCCTCTTAGGGAGGTGCTGGCCATCGAATTGCGAGCGAGTGCTGGGTTCCGCGTATCACCGCCCCATGTGGCCATGTAAATGGACCGGCGAGCTGCCTTAGGTCGATTTTAGACCGCGTGCGCTTGACAGTGTGTACTGCCACAGCACAAGAAGCTGAGGTTTTAAATCAATCCCTATAAGCTCTAGCCTTATACCGTTAGACCGTTAGAATGCCCTCTGCAAAGTAGCTGTGCGTGCATTTCATAGGCAGCCGCCCAAAAACGCCGAGGTGGGATGCCCAGGCTGAAAAAAAGCAGCTTGGCAGTCCTTGGCACCACAGACACCCGCTGCAGTGTAGACTCGATACCCAAAGCTTCGTACAGGACCTGCTGGACCCTGGGGATGTCTAGAAGTTGCCCAGGAGAGGAGAAGGTTCTGGTCCTAGCCCGGTAAGCCGTGCGAAGTTCCGAGGCGTTTTAGCTGGATGGCTTATGAGGTTCCCAGTTTCAGACAGGAACCTTGGGCCTTGCTTCCACCTTGTGCATGCATGCCTGCTTTCCGGTTCATCGGCGACAGGAGTAGGAGCAGGGCTGACCGTGCAGACCGATTTCAAGCGGAATTTCAACGGCTGCTGACCCACGCAGTCTGCCGAGTAGCAGCTTGACGCAGGGCCTCCACATGTGTTGAGCAGAAAGCGCTCTACGGGCACTAATCTGTAGAGCCTGGCAGAAGTACTTCATTGCAGCATCTTCCATCTAGTTCAGGATACCAACAATTGAGCCCAAAATATAGAATTCACCCCCCATACACGAAACTTTCTGACCTGTGAGCCATGCGGGACGTGAGCTATTCCAATTGGAAGCCTCCGAACCTGGATAAAATCCAACAGCTTGCGTGGGGGCCCCCAGATCTTCGGGATACTAGGGAATAATGTTAACTTTCTGGGTACTGAAATTCGGACATTAGATGTTTTGCTGGGGTTCCAAGCTCAGTATACGAGATGAGATGAGGCCGTTCAAACACTCGCGTCCGAAACACGTCTAAACCCCAGCATGACTGCCGAAGAGCTGGATTCCCTGAGTTATGGGGGGGTTCTCCGACAATATGGGGATCCGACTATTTGGGGTCTATATTGGGGGTCGCCTATTTTCGTAAACTCCCATATGGATGGTTGTCAAAAAAAGATATCATCCCTTTTGGGGTACCCTAAATATGAGGTGCCGTATTAGAATAGGGATCCAAGAAGGGACCATAATTTTGACAACCACCCATATCATCGCTCCTGAGTCCTCATACTTCACAATGCCTACTATATAGCCGCTTCAGTGCAGCATTGAGTTTGGAGCCCAAACCGTAATTAGATCCTAATTCCCTACTTCCTGACGCCCTACATGCTCAACTCCTTAGCCCCAAAGCCCATAAAGCCTAAAGCCCTCAAACCCTACAGCCCCAAATAGAATCCTAAACTTTAAACGAAAACCCCAGCAAAAACCTAAAACCTCAAATGCCAGACCCCTAATACCCGAACGCGAGAGGCTACACCCCATGACCCAAACCCCAAACCCGAAACCCCAAACCGTAACCTCTACCCCAAGAGGTCCTACTCGAAGGTTCATGTGTACTAAGGGTAGTTTTATGGGCCCTGAATATGTGGTTCCTTGCGGACTTTTAAAGGGCTCTGAAGTATGGGCCCTTGGGTTGCATAGAATACATAAGGGATATACAAGGGGCCCCTTTCTAAAGAACTACCCTAAGCATGAATCTCCAAGTAGGATTCCGTTCAGGGTTTGGGGTTTAGGGTTTAGGGTTTAGGGTGACCCCTTCGTGAAGGTGGCCTAAGCGATAAGAGGGGGGACGCCCCCGGAACCCTAAACCCTGAACCCTAAACCCTAGACCCTAAACCCTAAACCCTAAACCCTACACCCCAAGCCGAAAACCCTAAACTATTGAACCCAAAGCCCTGACGCCCAAAAACCCTAAAACCCCAGACCCCAAAGCGCCGACACCCTAATACCTCAAGCCCCAAAGCCCCGAAACCTGAACCCTAAACCCCTAAATCCCTCAACCCCTGAACCCTAAACCCTAAACCCTAAACCCTAAACCCGAAAATCCCTCCCTGAACCCTAAACCCTAAACTCCCCAAAGCCCCCTGAAGAGAGGTCCGCAGCTGGTTTTGGCTATGGCAGTGCCGGGTTTGGAGTCCTGGGCTCAGTCGTGCAGGGTTGGGGTTTCTAGGGTTCAGGGTTTAGGGTTTAGGCTTGCGTTCTTGTTGTTTTTTTTTTTGGGGGGGGGGGGGGGTGGGGGGGGTTGGGGAGTTTTGGGGTTTCGGCCAGTTTCGGCTTAGGGTTTTGTGGGTTTGGTGTGTGGGATTTTGGGGTTTCGTTTAGGGTTTTCGGGTTGTGGGCTTGGGAGGTGTTTTTTGTTGGTGGGATTCGTTATGACCGTGATTCTGGGTTCCTGCACCCCCCCCCCCCCCTCGCCCTAAACTCCCTCCCAAAAATTGAGGTATGACAGGGGGTAGTTCAGGTGGGGGGTGGGGGGGGGTAGAGGATCCCAAAACAGGACGTGGGAGGTTTCCCGAGTTACGGGTATACCTTTGTGGGTTTCTGTTAGAAGGATGGGCGACTTCCTAGTCAGGACGCATATGATTCCCTGGTGGTGCTTTATCGCAACTTTAGATCCTTAGCCTCTTTGGGTGTATTGGGTTCCCTAATAAGGCAGCTAAAATTTCAATGTCTAACTGCCCTCCTAAGTCCAGACAAGATTCCAGACGGGCTGCAGCCTCTTTTCAGGGTTTAGGCTTTCGGGGTGTCCCTCGCAGAAGGGGGGGTGACCATCACAAGCTAGACCCTAAACCCTAAACCCTAAACCCTAAACCCTAAACCCTAAACCCTAAACCCTAAACCCTAAACCCTAAACCCTAAACCCTAAACCCTAAACCCTAAACCCTAAACCCTAAACCCTAAACCCTAAAACCCTAAAACCCTAAAACCCTGAAACCCTAAACCCTAAACCCTAAACCCTAAACCCTAAACCGATTCGATCCCCCATCGGCCGAAACCCCAAACGAGATACTCACAGGGTTTATGTGGGCTGCATTCTCCTGGGTGGCCCTGGGGCCTAGAAGGTGGGGAGCGAGCCAATGTAGAGCAATGCTCAGATGACTAGGGTTTAGGGTTTAGGGTTTAGGGTTTAGGGTTTAGGGTTTAGGGTTTAGGGTTTAGGGTTTAGGGTTTAGGGTCGCAAAGCAGCCTTCACCTAAGGTGTGCAGGGTGTCAGGTTGAGGGACCTTTGCCGCGCAGGCTTGGGGCCTCCATTCTCCATCACCCCTCCTGATCCCTAAACCCCAATCCCTGAAACACTCAACTCCGAAAACCCTCAGCCCTAAACCCTAAACCCTAAACCCTAAACCCTAAACCCTGGGATCCCAAACTCAGGATGTTGGCTACAGCCAGCACGACCTGATCGCCAGAAAGGAGCGCTCGAGCCTAAGCTTTCTTTGCAAGGTCCAGAAGCCCCGCGCTATTTGCCATCTTTGCGCCTGAGAGAGCTCAAGGGGTGATAGGTAGGGTAGCTATGGAGCTGGCTTGAGTTACTTGGGGGTTTACGAAAATAGGGAACGACGAAACAAAGACTCCCAAATAGTAGGATTCCTCTATAAAAAGGACCCCCAAAAAGGTACCCCTAATTTCGGAAACCCCCATTTCGGGAGCTGATGACCCTGCCTAGAAGTGCCTCTTGTGCTTTCAACTAGCTTGGTTTTTGGGACATTATATATATATATATATATATATATATATATTCCATTTTTTGGGTTCATCAGGAACCCTTGTATTTACTATTTTCCAGAGGTTTTAGAAGGCCAGCACAGTAAAGTATTCCACAAGGCAGGCCCTACAAGCCTGAAGTCTCACTTCTGAACCCCGGTGCCCAGATCTACCTGGAGGTTCATATGGTTGCTTCTACGCAGGCTTATGAGCACCCTAAGTAAGGTCGTATCCAGAAAGTTACCCTACTTCAAACAAGTACCCATGAACCCCTAAACCCTAAGCCCTAAACCCCTAAACCCTAAACCCTGAACCCTGAACCCTGAACCCTAACCCCTAAACCCTAAACCCTAAACCCTGCATATACGTGCCCATGAACCTCCAAGTACTGGCTTTTGCCCTTAGGCGAAGTTGAGGAGAAGCACCGGAAGGCGGAGGCACCCGCAAAGGGAGATGATGGAGCTGCTGTGACTTGAGTTGGCTCAGGGTTTAGGACCTATGAACCCTAAACCCTAAAAAACCAAAAACCCTAAACCCTAAACCCTAAACCGATTACAGGGCTTAACGACTTCAACGTCTTTCTTCTGCACCGACCGAAACAGAGACGAGGTCTTGACATGTCATGGGCTTTTGGGTTACCCTAAATCCTAAACCCTAAGCCCTAAACCCTAAACCCTAAACCCTAAACCCCAAACCCCAAACCCCAAACCCCAAACCCTAAACCCTAAATCTCAAGAACCCCTCGACTCGAGAGCCACACCCTGCACTCCTAAACCCTAACTACCCCAATCTAGGGAGTCAAGAGTTTAGGTTTGGGATGTTCCCCCTTATACCGAACAGTCCTTCGTCGGGATTGTCACGTTCTCATCCCTATTCAGGACTGTCAGTACAAGGGGGAACATCCCAAGTTTAGGTTCTTAAGGGTTCAGGGGGTTTCACCTGGAGCAGTACCCCAAAATAAGGCCAGCCCGCCAGGCCGAACGCCGGGAGCAGGAGGAGCGAGAAGAGCGGGAGCGTGCCGAAAGGGAACGGGAGCGACTGCGTCGGGAGGAGCA